TTTGACGGACGACAGTTTAAAATAGCCGTAAAGATACGGATGCATGCGAACAAATGCAGGCAGATGCCCGACTTCCCGCAATGTGCAGGCGACAATAAATGACTGAAGGTCGATGGATGTGGAGCAGTAGTTTAGGTTTGGTCTCCCAACTCGTTGAGACGAAGCATATTCCCTAACCCATTCGACGGATGATCAAAGCTGGAGTACACTGTAAAAAATATTGACGAGCTATGTGTCAAAACAAGGGTCTCGAAACAGTCACCAGGTTGTCAATGCTTCCGGTACCTACCACTTGACTAGTTACCGCTTAGTTAGCTTACAGGCTGAGAACTATCCAGATCGCTATGATCCGGTATTGTAATGATACCCTAGGTGTACCTTTGTTTTGAAGTGCTGAATTAACTATCAAGGTTGTTTGACATTTGTTTTCGCCTAAATCCGAAACGAGGAAGACCCTCATCAAATTATTAGGTGAAAGCCAGCCTCAGGATGATCAAAATACTAGGGGTAGTTTTGTCATAGTAATCTGTGAAGGGTGAGGAACAAGCCGTAGCAATGCACTCGTCACTAAACCAGCCTGAGATTATTCGCCAGGTAGCTGCTGCGTTTCCTTACTTGCTGAATCATGTTTGCAACTTTCCATTTCCAGACACTTTTTACGGCAAATAAATTGTTGGGTTATTTGGAAGGTGAATGACAATTTTATTTCTATAAGTCAATACATTTGTATTTCCGATTGCCCTAAAACTTTTTTTTTAATCGTTTGCGGTAGGTTTTTATTGTTCGCAATAAAGTTGCGCACCTGTGAATCCTTCACTTAATGCGTTCCCGGCTTCCCGGCGCCAGTTGCGCTGTGCCGTGCCGCGTTCGGTCGGGGGTGCGCGCGTCTGTGAAGTGCGAGTGTTTATCACTGGGCAAACCTGTATCGTTTCCATTTGTGCAGTGTCTAGTTATGAAGAATTGCTTGCCGATATATGACCTGCAGTGATCGACGTTCTGATTCAATAACTTGCCATAAGCCATTATTCTCAACCAAATCGCGCAGAGACGTTTGCAAAGTTGTCGAGGGGGGGGGGGGGAACAAGAGCGATTTTAAATGAATTGCTCTCCATGCAGTGCAATAGGACTTAGGTTTAATTTTTCGAAAGTTGTGGAGCCGCCCCCGGTGTCCGGCCTGGCCAACTCTCTCAAGAACCGACAGCTAACGGAACATTGAAGTTTCACTACGACGATTTCCGCCAAAGTTATGAAGAAAAGGCAAGTGCAAGAAGTACAAAACTTCTCTTGGTAATCAAAACTTAGGTTTGGCAAACTAAGTCACTACAACTGTGGATATAAATAAGCTGGTTATTGACGGCCAAGCTCTGGCCAATCTGAGGTTCAGACCTATCATCAAGTTCATGAGGCAGCTGCGGTTGGGCGGCTCACGGGCTCCACTGCATAGGCTCAGACAGGTACTCTACAAAATGTCTTCTGTGTTCTTAGGTTCAGATCTATCGATAGGTATGTGCATGCTTCTGATTCGATTGATAACTGTAAACGGGCGCTGGAAGTGAAAGGTTCGCTTGATATACGGAAGGTGCATTGCAAGAAAGCACATTGTTTCAGAAATACACTTTCATTTTATCTTGAGCGTTTTTGGAATGGGCCGGATGAATTCGTCATCAAACTGGTAAGGGATTTCGTTTGAAGACCACCGATATTTAATAATATGATGGTCTTCAAACGAATTCGCTGGCAAATTCGATGACTGGATTGGGCGGCGTAGGATCTGCTGGTCATCGGTTGATTAGGGCCTAGTTGGGCCCCTAGTTTTGACCTAGTTTGAGCTTCATTCGTTAAGTAGGAACAAGACGATGCTTCTTTTGAACATCGTCACTAAACAAGCCGCCCTCGTTTTGACATTGTTTTTCGTTATTATTGTTACTAGGTACTTTGTTATCATACACAGCATTAACGAGGACCTGCTTCCAAAACAAGGCAGAAACGCTCCAGCTATTTTTGGGACGTGGTAAAAACTAACCGACACCTGGTAACTGTCATCTGACGAACACAAAACAAGCCAGGGGCTCGCAGCGTGTGTCAAAAGTAGGATGCAAAACTAGTCTGTACCCCCGACATTTAGCGTTGAGAATCATTTGACGAGGGGCTAGTCAATATTTTTTACAGTGTATGGCTCCTCTGCAGCTCAAACCTGCCTTCTCTTCCATGGCTTCATGTTTGACCTGGTGCGGCTGTCTCCTCCGTCCTCTAACGCCTTGTCAGCTGTCATTATCCTCAAACCATTCATCTCTAGACTCTCTGGCGAGTTTTCCGACACAAATACATATCGGCATCGGCTGATAATGAACTGGTATTTCGGCGTCGCACCCACCCTGATCCCGGTCATATTTCTCCTTCGATGGCTTATTCATGCTAATGTGAACGAACGGTCGTGGTTCGCCCAGACTTGGTCCAATAATATCACGTGCTGGTGTGTGCCTTAGGCTCAGGAGGATGGCATGGGTCCATGATATGATATCTTAGACACAGTGTGATAGTTTTGTGTGTCGAATGGTGATTGTGAGTTTCCGCGAAACCGAAATTTTTGTGCGGAACTTTGTGACATGGGTGATCGACTGATGATAGGAACCAGCAAAGCAAGGTCTTTGGTTATTGACCTACCTATACATCGATGCCATGTCGATCCCATCCTAACAGTTTATATTCAATCCTATCCTCTCCTATTTTGACATCCTGTTCTCCCATGTAGGTACTTACTCGTATGCATTCTATCTTGGCTTATCCTGCCCTGTTCTGTCCTATCATTCCTTAGCCTGTCACCTAGGTATATCCTACCCTATCAGTATCCTATTTTATCATCATTATCTTGCTATAATAAAAAAACACCTTCCACCCTGTCCTATCCATAGCCTGTCCTTTACTATCCGTACTATCCCATGTTATCCGATTCTATTCTATCCTATCCCATTGTGACCACTCCATGACACATTTTTCTTGAGTCCACGCTTCGGTCATGTCCGAAGTCCTCCGTTGATGAGATACTGATGACGGCCCATCAGTCTCCCCACTGACTGATAGGTCAGCCGAGGGCGCTCATTGGTCCCGGGGGCTGATGGATGACGTCACTCCCGGTGCGTGAAACTCCACACGGGCCGGAGCGGCACTGATGGATGACGTCACTCCAGGGCTGCGAAGTACCACAGCGCTGAGAGGAGCTGATTGATTTGGACACTGTGGGATGTGTTCTATATGCGGGAACGGTATGGAGGAATGGTGGCAACTCGGTATGGAAATGAGGGGAGGAACAGTTACGGGTACCGTGCTCTTCTTGGAAAATAAGCAGGCATCTGCGAAGCTGTCAATTTAACATTGGCAGACTATGACGTGAAAGCTATAACAGACATGGTCAATTGATCATTGTTCATTCAGTCGGGCCGATGGAGTCAGGAGTCTTGCAGGACTTAAGCGTTTCTCTCCACAATCCTCCACGCAGCTGGAAGATGTCGCAACCGCACATGAAATACCATACTTTGATCGCTGATTGCTTTGCATGCATGATATTTAAGAGCATGTGCTGATGAGACAGTGCTCGGTTATGCCTACATACTAATTCCGCCCACCGCGCGCCGTTCTAGGGCACGTTTTGTATGTGTTTGTATGTTTTCTTACCATTTGTCCAAGCAGACACTCCACTGATTCATCTCGACCTTGCTCTCGTGCATTATCTCCTTGGTATAGTTTTAATCGATGTTAAACGTACGATAGATAAATGACGAATCTGGTCATTATGCTCTAGCGTGACCTCTGGCGCCAGTTGCCATCTCACAACTTGCAGATGTTGATGGATACGCAGTTCAGATGACTGTTTCATGCTTCGTTGTTGACGATTGACGAATCATCCATCCTTATGTAGTACTGCCGCAACAACCAATAATTACGAGCGAGCGAGCGCAGCGAGCGAAGCGAGTCTTTTCAATATAACGGAAAAATCTCAGTATGAGCGGCCCGGCCCGGCCCGGCCCGGCCCGGCCCGGCCCGGCCCGGCCTGTAACGCTTTTGAGAGGCTTATATCTCAGCAACCGCTGGACCGATTGGCTTGCGGTCTTTTTTGCTGGGTAGCCCCATCCCTTCTACCCCGCAATTGACTACTTTTGATACATCTCAGTGACCGTCGTGGCACGTGCCACGTGAAAAGTCAAGGGTGTTCAAGCAGTTTTGCAAAAGTAGTGATTTTGAGAGGCCCATATCTCAGCAGCGGCTTGAGCGATTGTCTTGCGGTAACTTTTATAGGGTAGCTGCATCCCTTCTACCAAAGGTCGGATACTCTTGATCTATGTGAGTGGCCCACCACTGCACGTGCAAAATACAAAAGGAAGAGGTGCCAAATTTGTTCCCATTTCAGTAACTCGGTAATTACTGGGGCGATTTCGCTGAAACTTGGCATACAGGTAGGCACCCACCAGGCAATGCATTCCCATGTGTTGCGGTTAGGGTGCTACTGCACGTGCGCACGTGCAGGGGGCGCTTCCAGATCTCGAGAACGGCTGGGCCGATCGCGCTCAAATTTGGTACACGGTTGGGAACCAGTTAGTAGGGCGCCGTGCAAAGTCAGTTTGGGCCCCGTTTGCACGTGCGCACGTGCAGAATGCCGCTTCCAGATCTCAGGAACGGCTGGGCCGATTGCGTTCAAATTTGGCCCACCGCTAGCGACCGGTTAGAAGGGTGTTTTGCACAAGCCCATTGGAAGTACCCTCTCGCCCTTCCGCATGTGCAGGGCTCACTATCTCGCTCGCTCGTTCTTCGCCCAAAAGGCGTTTTACTGGTATAATACATTGGTAATTGCATAGTTCGTTCCTTTTGTCGCTGATCTCGCCATTTATGATGCAAGTTTCTGTCTTGTGCCGTCGTTTTTCCCTGTCCACTATTGAATACAAGTGGGTTATGACACGCTGCTGTCACTGACAGAATATCTAACGCCCGTCCTGGTTCGATTGCAGTGGACTGGACGATGAGCTCGACATCTCGCCCGAGACCGAAGAGGATGAGTTCCGAAAACTGCCGACAGATGGCACTCTGCCCGACTCCGAGTCTCAGGTAGGTGGCGCTACGGCTCCGACAGCGACCTCAGCTTCACTGAGCAGGTGCACTGTGGCCAGTGTGATCGGTCGCAGCAGCTAAGATGCCAAGGTGAAGGTCGAACCCAGTCAAATCATTTTTTAGATGAAGTAGCATGTAGTGCAATCGACGTGCTGACATGACTATCTCCCTCTTTCCCAACGATTTTTGATAAAGGTATCGGATAAAACTAACATAAAGACGTTCTAATTCATGCGTTGTGAGGAAATTGAGGTGCCATTGAGATAACATCTTCATTGTTGACTCTTTCTAGATGATTTTACTAGCGTGATTTTAGCCGTTATAGCACGTAAATGCTGACATATATGCATGTCTGGTTCATTAACGTTCCGGATCCATTACACTACCTAAGCCATTCCACCGGCACTCGCCCGACTCCCGAGCCCCTGTTTGCGGCCATCCAGTTAACTTTCATTCATATCATCCCTGTCCCTATCTGGGATATCTGGGCGGTCGCCCGCGGCGCGCCTGTCTCGTCTCTGGAGCGCCACTCTTGCCCCCAGCTGCGCCACGGGCGCCGCGCTATCAGGACTGGTTCAATATGGCGGTGCGTAAATATGGTGAAAGCTGCCTTCTCTAAGTGGCGAGTATGCAGCTATTAGGGGATGCAGGGGCGGCTGGGAAGAGGGAGATACAAAGACAGAGAAGACCGGTAAGAGTAGGGTAGGGTGGCATTTGGACTGTTTTGCAGTCGTATTGCTGCATTTCTGTTGAAGTGCGTGCTTTATTGATTGGGACTATAAAGAGTCTTACTCTAATATACCCGAATTCTTGTCATGCTTAGGTAGGTAGGTATATTTTCCCGAGAATTCGGTCATATCAAATATGTTGAAAACCATCATCATTTTCCTAATGACGGTAAACGCTTTGAAAAAAAAAAAACTTTAAAAAATAATATAAAAAGATGACCTATATCAAAATAATGAAATAGACCACCTTTTCTGTTCAATAGGTAGATTATTCTCTTTCGCAGATTCCTAGCTACAGGTCAATTACTTCTCGCTCCACCCCAAAGCTCAGTTACTGACATTCCCGTTTTGGACGTGACCGAGTTCCCGCTCCCAGCTTCACCCTTCCTCTCGTAATCTGCCGACCCCAATCATACTCTCGTACCAGGACGGCGACTTAATAGCGCGTTCTGATAATAACACTCTGACTCTCAGCTCGGTTGATGACAGTCACCCGAGCACCGCCCACTTTCACTCGCCGTCCGTCACATTTCGTGACGCGCCGGCATCGTCGTAGCTGCATCGCGAGCGTCGCCGCGCAATCAGCTGGCTACTCAGGCGGTGTGTTCCGGCCGCTGGAAGCATGTTGAATGGATGTGTGATTAGTCTGGTATTGTGCGCTGGAGACGCACGGAAGGAGGGCGATGGTGGTAAAGTGAAAACTTGAGACGCGCTCGCACAGGGGCGAGAGTGAAATACGGCGTCTGTTTGACGGGAAGTGTGGAGTGTTTGTGCACACGCGAGACTGTTTGAGTTTTGAGTTAGAGTGTGAGTGCAAAGCTTCTCACCAAGTGAGAGTCTCCGAGTGGGCATATCAGTTTTTTCTGGTTGCTTCTACCGTTGTCGAGGATAATGAATCATGCGTTATTGCATCTATCTTTTTTAAAATGTGATGTTTAACGCTCATCATCATAAGAGAAAAATGAATAAAGATCGGGCTTGGCTGCCCTTCAGCAAATCTAGATAACAGCGAAAATGCGCAGTTTCATTATATTCTGATTGCGGCACCTATGCTTAAACTTCCGAAATATTCAAACCCGTTGCTGTTGCATCTGTTGCGTTTATTGCAGCATCACCCAGCTGCGGGCGGGGCCGGGTATAATGATGTTCCTGACCAGGTTCACTGAACTGAACTGCACTGAACTGCCAGCTGGCTGATGGGACCGTTTGCTTCCTGCTTCGTAAACCACGTCCACGCCAGCTGGGTGTGACCAGACTGACGGCCGCCAACTGTCGTTTGATGAGCGTGATGGCACTGAACGGCTCATGGCGCTGCCCGAAGGCGTGTCATTGTATCATGGAGACTAAGGGGGTGACATTTGGTTTTCTGGTCCACTAAAACTGTAGGAACAGTTCTCTCAGATGTTATCGGTAGATCGGCTTGCTCGGAACCGCTCATAGTACTGATTCCCAGCTTATTGTTTATTGTATCACTGAGGCTTAGGAGTGACATTTGATTCGAGATCCTCCCAAACTGTTGGTAAGATCGCCGTCTCACGGAACTTACCACTCGATAGTGATGGGAGAATCGACCATCTCTTCCTCTAAAGGACCACCCGAGTGTTGTTCGGGTAGCACACTCCCTGGACAATCCACCCAAATGAAGCGAAACTATATCGATCGATATCGGTGAAGAGACATCGGAAAACAGCGCACAGAGAAACCTGACTTCGAGAAGATCGCGGCAGAGATTGAGCGGCTCTGAATCGGCTCTGGACGATACCGTGTGCCTTTGGAGGAGCGACGCATGGGAAAGTGCCGCCTTTTCGTGGCTGTCCGTAGCTCGGCGTGGCCGAAAGCGTGCCGAAATTAGAATACAATAGAGCTCCGGAGAGGTTGGAGTTCGGTCACGAATGACGGGATGGTGACTGGGAGAGCTGGGATGATTGGTCGTGGGTGCACTCGGGACCATCCGTTCTGTGGGGATGGGAGATGAACTGGGAGTCAGTGGCCTCATTCAACATTCGTGGAGGTTCAACATTCGTGTGTGCGTACAGAAAAAACACTCATCCGTCCTTTATAACTAAATGTGATACTAAAATACCAACATTACATATATGGCAATCCTACATAGGAGTGGAAAATACATAAATACAATACAGTGGAAAATAAATAAAAATAGAGTACAGTGGAAAATAGGAGTGGTTAAAGTAAATGGAATCACTGGCCAAACTCCCTCACTATTTGGGCGCCTTCGTCATCCATGAAAATCAACAAGTCTCAATACCCCTGCCAGCAGTCAGCACTGGCTTCAATTCAATGCATCGCTTTCAATGCCCGCCGCTTGGCTCTGTCTTGCCAGTCTATTTCTTTCAGCGGAGGGCGATCCGTCAATACCTGCACCGGGTCAGGTAGGGTTGACCGGGACGGTGCGATCGTGTTCAATTAGTGCAACCTGCGTGCACTCTTCACCACGGGGGCGTATTGGATGTCTTGGCCAGGTCATGAGCTGAGAGTTTCAACGCCTCTCTGTCGCCATTAATAAGCGTGGCAGGGTGTTACGTGGATGAAAGAGCGGTTATCAGCAACACTCTGTGGCAATTGCAAGATGCGGCCTTCTAACGAATTGCTTGAATTGCAATATACACCTGGAAATGGCTTACATCGAGCAAACGGCAACATTTGTCTGATGTGTTATTCGCAGAATGTGCTCATTATTATCGTAAAACTCCGGGAGATCCGGTCCAGTCATCCTTTCTCACACCATGTTGTGTTGAGGCGGGCTCTGCTAGCTATAGAATCGTCAGGTCATGGGAAGAAGGAAATGGAAATGAGAGGAGAGGATAGGAGAGGACAGGAGAGGAAAGGAGAGGAGAGGAGAGGAGAGGAGATGAGAGGAGATGAGAGGAGAAAATAAAGGGAAGAGTGAAAAAGGAAGAAGAGCAGGGGCAGCAGGGCAGAGGAGAGAAGACAAGAAGAGCACAAAACAAAACATAGAGCAGAGGAAAGAAAGAGAGAGAGAGAGAGAGAGAGAGAGAGAGAGAGAGAGAGAGAGAGAGAGAGGAGCGCAGAGCAGAGCAGAGAGGCAGTCCCGGAAGGCGGGACGACGCGGACAGCCACTGTGTTGTAAATCGGCCGCCTGATAGGATGATTACTGGCCGGGCCAGCGTCCAGTAACTCATACACCACTTCCCAGTCGGCACTGATCAATATTGGGGCCGATAAAAACCCAACTGCCGACACAATTAGATCATCGATCTTCCGAAGTAGCCGCTATAACTCACAATCACTACAGAGGGGGATGTGGGGCTTGTTCTCTTTCCAGCAGGCATCAGTTATCCATGGAATGGTATGCCATCCGACTAGTTGAGCTAGACTTCACAGTATAGATGCAAAATAGACTCCGTGACGCCAAGCAAGTGTGCAATTATTAGCTGAGCTGGGTAGCTAAGAACGAGGGGTGATTTAAATGTCAGATAGAAGATGATTACTGGCTAAACCCTTCATGAGAAAATAACGGCCATGCTAGCATCCGTATTCTTTGTTACTGTCACATTCATTCTCGATATCCTACTTAGTTACCACAAGGGTGTACCACATCCTCTCCTCTACTTTCTCATCTTCCCTCCCATCCCGTCTGATGGAATAACACATCAGGACGTCATCCTGTTGACAGCCATCACTGATTGACGTATTCAGGTCCTGTCGTCCTGCCCTCCCTCCCGGCGGCTGCTGGTACGTAATTAATGCTGTCCAGTGTTCTGGCGAAGGCGCAGTGTGTAATCAATGCTGGCTGGTGCGCTATAGTGGCTTAGTATGTTATTCAAACTTTCCCGTATACTAGTGTGATCATATTCACTATTAAATTTTAATTATATCCCCGGCTGAATCCCTCGAGGCAGAAGACGTCTGGATTCACAAAGAGACCCACCCGTTTCTCGGGCTATCTCGGGTTAAAGTCGAGGTAATTCCCCCAAAATAACCATTGCCTTTACATTTTTCCCTTACCTTTATCCCGTAATTGTGTATACGTCCACTGGGAAAATATCACATCACCCCTACACTGAGAAAGGAAAAAACCGTTATAGCGTCCATGGGGACGCGGTGCTGCGTCTCCTCTAAGCACCGTCTGATGGACGGCTAGGTAGCGAGCCGTAGACCGCATCGGTACGGGTGGCGGCGTCGCGGCCATCGGCGCGGCAGCGGAGGCGGCGGGGCAGTGGCAGTCAGTCTGAGTCGAGAGGTGGCGCCGGGCGGACGGTGGACGGTGGACGGTGGACGGTGGATTTT